AAACTTTTGGAAAAGGCAAAACTATGGAGACAGTAAAAAGATTAGTGATTGCAAGAGGCTAAAGAGGAGAAAAGGATGAGTTGGCAGAGCACAGAGGATTTTTAGGGCCATGAAACTATACTGTATGGTATTGTAATGGTGGATACACAACATTATACATTTCCAGACCCACAGAATGTACAACTCCAAGGGTGAACACTAATGCCAACTATGAACTCTGAGGGATAATGCTGCATTAATGCAGATTTCATCCATTGAACCCAATGTACCACTCTGGTAGGAGACACTGATACTGGGGGAGGTAATACATGTGAGGATGCTGGGGGTAAGTGGAAAATCTCTGTGCCTTTCTGTCAATTTTGCTGTGAGCCTAAAATTGCTCTTAAAAAACTTATGTCTTAAAAAAAAGCTAATTGATGATCCCCTAGAAAGACTGATAAGAAAGGAAAAAAAGAAAACCCCACAAATTACCAACTTCAGGAATGAAATGAAATGAGATATACCATTACAGACCCTACAGAAATCAAAATGATAAGAAACCACTGCAAACAAATTTAGCCAATAAATTCAACAACTTGTATCAAATGAGCATTTTTTGGGATGGGGGAAACACAACACACCAAAACTGACACAAGATGAAATAGAAAATGTGAATGTCATATATTTGACAAAGAAATTAAAGATGTTATTGAAAACCTCCTTACAAAGAAAACTTCAGGCACATATTATTTTACTAGTGAATACTATAAAATACTGAAAAAGGAACTAACATACAAATTCCATCAGAAAATAGAGAAAGGAGATGGGCTCAGTGGCTCAGCCTGTAATCCCACGCTTTGGGAGACTGAGGTGAGTGGATTGCCTGAGCCCGCGGGTTTGAGACCAGCCTGGGCAACTTGACGAGACCTCGTCTCTACAATAAATCAAAAAATTAGCCGGGTGTGGTAGCGCACGCCTGTACTTCCAGCTACTTGGAAGGCTGAGGTGGAAGGATTGCCGGAGCCCAGCAGGTCGAGGCTGCGGTGGCCGGGAGTGGCCACTGCACTCCAGTCTGGGTGACAGAGTGAGACTCCAATTCAAAAAAAAAAAGAAAAAAAGAAAAAAGAAAATAGAGAAAGGAATACTTCATAACTCATTTAATGAGGTCAGTAAACCCTGATACCAAAACTTGGTAAAGATATTACAAGAAAAGTATTTAGATCAATATCTCCCATGAACATGTATGCAAGAATCATTAACAAAATATTAATAAATCAAATCTAGCAATACATAACCAATATAACCTATACTTACATTGTCAATTCATTAGAGCTCCAGCTTATTCTTCCTCAACTGATTTTTGACAAAGATGGCAAGGTAATTCAACGGAGAAGGAAAAGTATTTTAAACAAATAAAGGCAGATCAACAGAATATCCATATTGGGGAAGATGGGAAGAACCTTGACCCCTATCTCACACCATACACAAAAATGATTTCAAGTAAGATCATAGATATAAACATAAAAGCTAAAACTATAAAATTTCTAATACCATAGAGGATTTGGCAAAGGTTTCTTAGGATGCAAAAAGCACTAAGCAAAAAGAAAAACTTGATTTATTAGATTGCATCAAAATGTAAAACCTCTGCTCATTAAAAAACTCAGTTAAGAACATGAATGAAGGGGTCACACTTCATCAATAAGGGTACCTGATGTCAAACCAGGTGACATGGAGACCAAAGTGAGGCCCAAACTTTACCTGTATGGTGACCATTTGTATACCTAACCCTGAACTGTACCCTCATCTTTAAAATAAAATTTTTAAAAAAAATTAAAGAAAAAGAACATGAATAGGTAAGCCACAGTCTGGGAGAAATATTTGCAAAACATGTATCTGATAAGGGGCTTTTATCCACAATACATATATATATTTAAAACTCCTACAATTCAATAATAAGAAAACCAATAGCCTAATAAACCAAATAACCCACTGAAAAAAATGAGCAAAAGATACATGAAAGCCAAAAAGTACACGAAATAGTGTTCAACCTTGTTAGTCAATAGGCAAATGTAAATTCAAACCACAACAAGATATCACTAAACACTAGAATGGATAAAACAAACAAGTCTGACAACATTCAATGTCATGAGCAAAGAGAGTAACTAAACTCTTGCACATTGTTGTGGGAATATAACATGATGCAACCATGCTGGAAAAACATTTGGCAGTTTTCTAGAAAGCTAAGCCTACCCTTTAACCCCAAATTCCTCTTCTAGTTGTATTCAAGAGACATCAAAATGTATTCCTCAAAAAAAAAAAAAACTTGTATATAGGCCAGGTGCAGTGGCTCACACCTGTAATCCCAGTACTCTGGGAGACTGAGGCAGGAGAATTGCTTGAGTCCAGGAGATCGAGACCAGCCTGGACAACATAGTGAGGTGTTATCTATACAAAAAATACAAAAAATAGCCGGGCTCGGTGGCTCAGCCTGTAATCCCATGCCTTCGGGAGGCTGAGGTGAGTGGATTGCCTGAGCCAGCGGATTTGAGACCCGCCTGGGCAGCAAGACCTCATCTCTACAATAAATCAAAAATCAGCTGGGCGTGGTAGCGCATGCCTGTAATTCTGGCTACTCAGAAGGCTGAGGCGGAAGGATCGCCGGAGCCCAGCAGGTCGAGGCTGCGGTGGCCGGGAGTGGCCACTGCACTCCAGTCTGGGTGATGGAGTGAGACTCCAACTCAAAAAAAAAAAAAATACAAAAATTAGCCAAGCATGGTGGTGTACGTCTGTAATCCCAGCTATTTGGGGGGATGAGATGGGAAAATTGCTTGAGTCCAGGAGGTTGAGGCTACAATGATCCAGGAACAACTACTGCACCCCATGGAGTCTGGGCAATAGAGTGAGAGCCTATCTCAAAACACACACACATCTGGGCTCGGTGGCTCAGCCATAATCCCACGTCTTTGGGAGGCTGAGGTGAGTGGATTGCCTGAGCCCGTGGGTTCGAGAACCGCCTGGGCAGGCGAGACCTCATCTCTACAATAAATCAAAAAATCAGACGGGCGTGGTAGCGCGCACCTGTGGTTCCAGCTACCTGGAAGGCTGAGGCAGAAGAATCGCCGGAGCCCAGCAGGTCGAAGCTGTGGTGGACTCCAACTCAAAACACACACACACACACACACGCACACACGCACACACACACACAATAAAAACAAAAACTTGTATATGCATGCATGTTCATAGCCGTTTGATTCACAATTGCCAAAAGGTCAAAATAACCCAAATGTTCCTCATCAGGAGAGAGGATGAAAGATTGTAGATTATGATGATTTAAAGATACATATTGTAATCCTCAGAGCAACCAATACAAAAGAAAAGAAAACAACATAGCTAAAAAGCTAATAGAAGAATTTCTGGATCGCTGAACACGTGGAGGCTCCTGGAGGGTGGTGTGCCTGAAGAGGACATGGAAGCTCTGTGCTCCTTCCCACATGCCTTGGCCTAGGCATCTTTTCATCTGCATCCTTTGCAAGAAACCAACAAACCTATTCAGACTAAACTCCTTGTACCACATGCAGAGAGTGAGGCCTAGCCAACAGCCAATACCAAATGTCAGCCACATTGAAACGCAAGCTAGACCATCCAGCCCTACCTGAGCCACCCAACAACTACAGTGATGCAAGGTGAGACCAGCAAGAGAACCGCCCTGCTGAGCCCACCCCAAACTACTGACTCGTAGAATTGTGAGCAAGTAAGACAATTGTTTAAAGTCACTAAAAAAAAAAAAGCTATTAATAGTAGAGGAATACTACTGGAATACTATTTATTAATATAAAGGAATAAATTATTGATATTCACAACACAAGGATGAATCTCAAAATCCTTACACTGAGTGAGGAAAAGGATATTCTAGGGAGATGGCTATATTCTCTATAGTAGCAGGAGTGGGTTATGTGGAGTACTCATTTGTCAAAATCAGCCAGCCAAGGTTTGTATATTTACTGTATGCAACTTTTAACAACAATAAAACCTCTGTAATAATTTAAGAGTAAGGAGGTGGGCAGGGAATGGGTGGGGCATGCGGGTGGTATGAGACTGGCAAGTGCAGAGGGTGGTGGCTTCATGGGGTTTGATGCACTGTGTGCTTACTTTATAGATGTTTGAAATTTCCATGTTAAAAAGTAAACACACACACACAACCCAGCAGTTAGCTGTAAGCTCAAGAGAACCTGCATGTTTGATCGCAGCTCTCCTCTCTCAGTACGTGTTAGCCCACCATGCCAGCACTTCCAGGTGACAGCAGTAGTTCATGCAGTCCTTCCAGAAGGGGTGACACTGGATCCTGAGTAACTCCTCCACCTGACAGAGGAGGGGCAGCAGAGGAAGGGAGGTGGCAGGACCCTGCGAACACGGGCAGGGACACGGGCATCACTGAGTCACCTGCAACATAATGTCCACGAGGCACAAGGATGTGTGCCATGGAAGGCATTCCTGGTCCCTGGTTTGGGAATCCCTTAACCCAGCACAGTACAGAAGGTATGACCGAGTGGAGGCCGTGCTCTGCCTGGACCTGACCTTGCCATGGGAACTGGGACTCATTCAGTTACGGTCTCCCTCGCTTTCTTATATTCCTTGGTCCTTTCTCCTGTTTTTCTTCCACGGCAAGGACCTGGGCAGGCTCTGACTCCCTTTGCCTGAGTTCCCTTAGGCTGGGTTACAGGAGGTCCAGAACAGTCAACATGAAGGACAGGGAAAGCGAACACGACCTGTCACCCAGGCTGGCCCTGCCTGGCCAACAGGCTGGCCTCAGTTCCCTCATGGCTCAGATACACACTCGGAGTGCTGTTTACAAGCCGAGCACGTTTCATTTGCCATCTGGTCCAAGATCAGGGAGGCACAAAGTACAGCGAGAGAGCACAGAGTCAGCAGTGCAATTTCCCCAGCTTGGCCGGCACCGGCGTTTGGAATCCACGAAACGCGCATCTGACCTTGAACGAATGTTCAAGTGAACGAAAGTGCACTTGACCTTTGGGAGCCGCTGCTGAGTATAACTCGCCAGTGGGAACATCTCCCGAGGTTTCCTGAGCTTCTGGGAGGGGGCAGTGGTGAGATGCAGCCCTGGATTACGGCCGATGAATGGATCTGCCTGGGCACAAAGGGAAGAGGCTGCTGTTTACAGGAAAATACTCCCATCACCTAGTAACCGTGAAGTCAGGGAAGGGACTGCAGAACACGCTGAGGGCAGTGGCTGGGCCCTGTTCCTGGCCAGGCCGCTGACTCACTGCGACCGTAAGCAATCTCTCTTCTATTCCTGTTCCCCTGTGTACAAATGGAGCCATCACCTGCCTTGCCTAGGTCTGATCAATATTTAGGTGACGTTTTGTCATCTTTGGGGGTACTTAGGGAAGAGCAGACAAAGTAGTTTCTATTCCTCCACTCCGATTGGCCTAGGAGCCCTTGCTCTGGGGAGACACGCAGCCTCGTGGGCCATCAGTTCAACCTCTCCCGGCTCTCAGTGGCATCCACACAGCACCAGAGCTCATCTGCCCCAGGGAAGCAATTAATTTCTTCCCTCTGAACAAGAAGGAACAAGCCCAGAATACTCTGGGGAGGACCGGTTGTTTCAGAGCCCGGATTCTGTCCCATGCTTGTCTTAACACTTCCAGAGTTACAACGGTGCCCAGAAAAATCTTGTCCGTTTCCTTCTCAGTCTGAGGGCCAGGTCTAAGGAGAAGCGAAGCATGTTTTGGATTCTGTCTCCACTGTCCCTGCTGGCGAGTGGCTTCTGCCCAACTCCAGGCATGGAGAGGATGCTCATTTGCTTGGGCTATCTCCTTCTTGCCAAAAAGTGGGCTCTTTTACACTCCTGATGGCAACACCACATCCTTTCTTGCACTGGGGCCAGTTCCAGTGCACCCAGCTTGGTTCTCAGTGCCTGGTAGGGTCTCCCTCTGCACCGTGGACATTGTGGCCAGGTCATTCTCTGAGGTAGGGCTGTCCTGGGCACTGCAGGGTGCTGAGCAGCGTCCCATGCCAGGAGCACTCCCCAGTCGTGATAGCCACATAAGTCCCCAGATATCATCCAGTGTCCCCTGGGGGCAGAAGGGCCCGGATGGAGAACCCCTGTTCTAAATAGATGCATCATGTCTGAGAAAGGGGATAGGCGAACCGCCCTGTGTAAAACGAGCCTGCAGGCAGGTGGAAAACAGGAAGAATGAGGAGGGTAAGCAAGACACGGAGTCATAACCATTTAGCCAGACAAGGAGTGCAGAATTAGAGTGGGAAAAACAACCAGACCCTTCCAAGTCTACCCACTGTTTTCCAGAGTAGCAAGTTGCAACTCACACCAAGGGTGATCCATTGCCCCTCCTGTGTCTCAACCCATTGGGTGCCTGTCATTCCTCTGTCCCTCTTTGGTTTTTTTTATTTTTGCAGCAATGAGCTTTCAAGGATCGGAGCTGGCTCTGAGCTTCTCTGAAATAAAGTATCCTCAGAATTCAAATTCCTTTTTCTTTTGGTAAGAATTGGGCTTCTGTTCCTGTTTTCTTCTCGGGAGCCAAACCTTCCCTCCTTTCTCAGCAGAGGATCCGAACCAAGCCCTTGACAACTGGCCTGCGGAAAGGCTCTTGGCAGGGTGAACGGGACTGGGAGAAGACACCCAACTGGCTCCTAAGTCACAGTTCTAACCTCCAGAGGCCTGGAACAGTGACACTAGCCAGGCTTCCTTTAACTCAGGGGACGGTACCATGACAGGGGAAACACCCAATCACTTGCGTATTAGAGACCTGATTTGACATTTTTTTTTTGAGATGCAGTCTCACTCTGTCCCAGACTGGAATGCGGTGGCACAATCATAGCTCACTGCAGTCTCAAATTCCTGGGCTTAAGCAATCCTCCAGCCCGGGCCTCCTGAGTAGCTGGGACTATAGGCATGTACCACCACACCTGGTTAACTTTTAAAGTTTTTGTAAAGGTCCCAGGCTGGTTTTGAACTCCTGGCCTCGAGTGATCCTCCTACCTTAGCCCCCCAAAGGAGCCAGGATTATAGATTTGAGCCACCACATCTGGTCCTGATTTGATAATTAATATAGAAGTTGTCCAAACCAAGGTATGGTTACCTTGTCTTTGATGTGGTCTGGTTTTAACTGCCATTGACAAGGTAACAACTTCAGGGGGAAATCTGATAAAAAATCATCAAGCCTTCGCTGACAGTTTCACCCAGCAACTATCCTTTTGCCAGGCAACCTGACTCCACTGCTTTTAGTAATAACTTAAACACCCTAAAACTTTGTCTACAGGAAACAGGAATTCTCCCTAGATTGGGGGTGGGGTACCCTGAAGTTTACCACATTGGGGCGAATGGGAGCTGGATATCAAGGTAGGGACTGACCGTCAGCTGCTGATCTGTTTTGGGGAGCAGGCATGAGTGTCACACACCCATCTACATAACACACAAATACACATGGATACATACCACACACGTGCACATGCACATACACGTACACAGACATATATGTTGACCCCCAACATGGGCTAACATGAGAAAAATGGGTTAAAACCATTAATAAGACACGGGTCGTGCTTTTATTCCAGACATTTTTCTATTCAACTGGATGCTGACTGCTCCCAATAGACTAAAATCAATGCTTCTTATGGTAAAAAGGGAAGGAGGGCCTCATGTTTACATATTTATGCACCCAGATCTTTCTTTACAGATCTGTTCTCATGCAGGATTCCGTCCTGAAACTGCGAATGATACCCTGTGCGCCTTCCAGCTCTCGGTCACACCCCTGCACTCCATCGCTTCCACCCCTTCTGTCCTCCAGTCCCTTCCCTCCTGGACTTCCTCCCCTGTCCTATCTCCCCCTTCATTTCCAACCCCCTCCTCTTGCGTGTCCAACTCTCAGCTGCCTGTTGTGTAGACGCTTACCTGCTTCAGCAGCAGAGGAGAGGAGCTGAGGTGGAGACCAGCAAAAGCCTCAACTATTTACTCTCTGCTCCCTTTCTAGAAGGATCTAGAGCCTTCTGTCTTCCTCTGGGGACCCATCAATCAAGCCTGTAATCTTCCCTCTGCACGGGCGCCATTCTTTCAGCTTACAGCCAAGCTCACACCACATTCGTCTTGGGACAACAGCCACTGCCACTGTGACCACATCCTTCATGTCTCTCATGTGTCTCGAGATATAGATTCTTCCCTCTTTGTGAGTCCAGATTCTTGGAGGGAAATCTGTGCTGCCACTTCCCTGCGATTCACACGTCTGCCCTGCTGTTATCCCCAGGTCTCCATAGGCCAGTTTTCAGGGCCTCTCTGAACTTGACCTCTCTGTAGTGTTTGATGTCGCTCCTTGAAATTCTGTCCTCCCTCGTGTCTGGGCATCATTGTCATCCGGTCTCGTCCTCCCTCTGAGGCACCTTCTTGTTCTCCTGCACAGACCCCTCTGCCCCCTGTCCCCTGTCTCTGTCACACCCGGTGTGGATAACCTCACTGTACTACGACTCCCATCACACCCAGATCTCCTGGATCCTATCTTCAGCTGCCTCCCAGTCCTCTCGCCCTGGGGGCCCAGCAGGTGCCTTAAGTCCACACTTCCTTCCCCTTGAACTCTCCACTTCTGTATTTCCTAAGCCATGTCCCGGGCATCTCCCTGGCCCCTACAGGGCACATGTGGCTGGTGACTCAGCCCTGCTGTTTGCACCTGATACCATCTGTCTCCCCCTCCTTCCGGTCCTGCTGCTCCCATTTTGGGGATCCCTGCCTCCTCATCTTGTATCTGGAACCACTGCATCCATCTCCTATTTGGTCTCCCTGCTTCCAGCCCCAGCCTTCTCCGAGCCATCTTTCACATCAGGTGATTCCAGAGATAACAGTGTCTTGTCACTCCCAGCTCAACCAACTCCCATCGATTTCACTGGATAGACACCATGTATATACTAAATCCAGGGACACTGAAAGTCTAACCACTGAGGGGGTCCCAGAATTTTTTTTTTTAAAAAGAGAGAGGGTCTCACTCTGTTGTCCAGGCTGTAGTGCAGTGACTCGCACATAGCTCACTGCAGCCTTGAACACCTTGACTCAAGCAATTCTCCCACCTCAGTCTCCTGAGTAGCTGGGATTATAGATGCGTGCCACCATACCCAGCCGACATTTTGATGTTGACCTTATGAGCCCCCTGTGTTAGAGGGTTGGGGCCGGCCCTTCATGTACACGAGTAGGCTTGATCTACTCTGGACGATCAAGGCCTTGTCACCTGAGGACTGTACATCCATAGCTAGGCAGAGAACCCTGCTCTGTGGAGAGCTTCAAAAGAAATGGAAACAGAACACAACCCCCAGCCCTGCCACTGGGTCTTACTCTCAAAGGGGGATCAGCTGCAGCTGGGGTGCAAAAGACTTTCCAACCTTCATCACAGAAATAACAACAAATGCTAAGGGGCTGGGAAAGAGGCAGCCACCAGGGGCAGAAGAGGGAGGATGGATTTCAGGCTCAGATCCCAGTTCCGTCACTTGCTGACCCGTGGCTGTGGGCCTTAATTTCTTCACCTGAGAAAGGGGTTGAGAGGATGAAGGGGAATGATGTATCTGATGTGCCATCCCAGCCTGGACCCCAGGAGGCACTTGGTCAATAAAATAGAACCTAGGCTGAGGTAAAAGGATTGCCTGTGCCCAGGAGGTCGAGGCCGAAGTGAGCTGTGATCGGGCCACTGCACTCCAGCCTGGGTGACAGAGTGAGACCCTGACACACACACACACACACACGACCTAGCAGAATGGAAGAAGGACAAAACCCTAAGAACAACAGTAGCAGCAGCAGCCGGTGGACAAAACGAGCTCGACTGTGGGCCTGGTGGGGCAAAGCATGATGTTCGAGGAGGTGACTGAACTCCAAGGAAGCTCCTGCCCTGATCTAGACACAACACACAGCTCAGAAAGGTCAAGCAATGAAGTGAAGGCCACAGAGCAGGAAGTGGTGGCACAGGATCTGAACTGGGTCTCAGCCCTGTTTGGCTCCATGGCCCTTGAACAGAAGGAGGCACACGTCTTAGGACTCCCGTGCCTCCCATGTTCTGAGCCACAAGGCGCTTCCACGTCCATTCCTTGTAAATTGCTTCCTCTACTTCACGCCAAA